AACCCACAACCCCAGGAGGTGGCAGGCACGTACGTGTGTGTCTTGTTCTCAAGTCCGTGCCAAGCTGAGACCCCTTGCCCTCCACCCCTCTTGACTCCGGCCAACACAGCTCAGGTGGAAACCCTTGACTTGTCCAGCGCCTTGGGAGAGTTCCTCCGCGCCAATATAAATCCAAGTTGTCGTTGCATTGATGACCGTTTTGTACATCGGGGCCGCGGGTTGGAAGTGACGCGTCAACTTCCTTCTTTTCCCCCCTCAAAAGCAATCTGGAAATTTAGCTTCAAGCTGGACTGCAGCTTACACCGTCTTGACGTTGACAGAATGTGTGCACTTTTTGCAATTGAAACCCTCAGTGATGGATCTGCCGGTAGAATTGTTTTGAACCAAAGTTGATGACATTAAAAAAAAAATGTGGTGAGGGAAGAACCCCGGTGGCAGTGATTTTGCGAGCGCTATTTCATTTCTTTTTTTTTTTTTGCAAGTTGCCAAAAATTGCTTATCGGGTCCTCTTTCAAGGAACAATTTAGATACTGGGCTATTGATTTTTTTTCGCAGTTTATCTCTCTCTGCAGGCAGATAACAAGTGGAAAGAGAATAATCTCTTTCAGGATAAGATTATCACGTATTTGCAAACATTGGTGCAGTGTTTTTTTTTCCCCCTCTCCAATCCTTGTGTAATGTCATTTTCGAAGAGTGGTCCTAAGCTAAGAATTAACCTGGAGTGGGGAGCGGGGAGTGGGGAGAGCGGGGGGTGAAAGTAGCAGTGGTATTGATGTAAATCGATAGATAATAGAGGTTTTACTTTGATTTCATAAATTGAGAGATTGTGCAACTCGCAAGTGCCGAAGGCACGGCATTATTTGCGAGCCAGCCCTGGTACTCTGTACAAAGCTGTTTGGGGCCTGATAGCAAAAGCAATGCTGGCACATCCGTGACCAACATAACTAGATGAATGCCCTCTGGCTTAAACCCATACTGCGGCTGCGTGTGTGTCCTCATATATATTATATATATCAGCCAGATGTCAGCCCGGCTCAGGTGGTAGCACTCTTGCCTCTGAGTCGAAAGGTTTCGGTTTCAAACCTCACGTCGGGACTCATTCTAGACAGACACTGCGATCGGTGCAGTGCTGGGGTGGGGGGGGAGAGGGCAACCGTTGTCAGTGGTGCCGTCCTTCGGATGAGATGCAAAAATCGAGGCACTGTCTGACTGTTCAGGTGGAAGTTAAGGAACCAAAGGCACTATTGGAAAGGGAAGGGAGTTTCTCCTGATGTCCTGGCCAACAAAAAAACATGTCTGGTCAACATCGCGCGTGGAGCTATTTATTTAGTTAAGTAAGTAAGTAAGTAAGTAAGTAAGTAAGTAAGTAAGTAAGTAAGTAAGTAAGTAAGTAAGTAAGTAAGTAAGTAAGTAAGTAAGTAAGTAAGTAAGTAAGTAAGTAAGTAAGTAAGTAAGTAAGTAAGTAAGTAAGTAAGTAAGTAAGTAAGTAAGTAAGTAAGTAAGTAACTATACTGTTTGTGTGACACCATTTTACACAATGGCTGTCGAGCTTCGCCCACAAAATATACATCCGCTACACTTCACAGCATAGCCTGTGAAGCGTGATGAGGCCCTGTATCAAATGCAAAGATTATCATTATATTATTATTATATTATAATAATGTATTATTATTCTAATCACTGCACCATTGCTCAGGGTTAGGTAGCGCACTTGTTCCCCCAGAAAGATACACGCCACGGGATTCCAATTGCTCTGTGTTGAGGACCCTTTCGACTCTCAGCAATAATAATAAAATAACATTTTGTTTTAATAAAAGGGCCACAAAACAGCCGCCAAAACAGCTCGAGACGCATTAAGCGCTTTGAAATGTGTTGAGGCTTTACGTAGGCGAACGGTGCAGTTAAATCGAGAGAGAGCAGTGAGCTGTGGGACGCAAACGTGGACCGAGACACTGAGGAAGGGGGTGCGAAGCGGAGGGATTGAGGGAAGGAGTTCCAGAGTTACGTAGCAGGTCTTTCCCCACCTCTCTGTTGCCCCCCACACCTCCCCACCCCACTCAACCTCATGGAGGGACAAATTGTGAGCAGTCTGTTCGCTGAGCTTTTGCTGCACAGTTTACGTCGAGGAGGAACTACTTCACCTCTTTCACTCCGAGGGCGGGGAGATGGTGGAACTCGCTGCCGGAAGCGGTGGTTGAAGCAGACGGTGGAGGCACGTTCGAGAGGGAGCCAGAACCTTCACCGGGAGGGAGAGGGGAACAGCGGGGCCCCCGGGGGAGGGAGTCGGAGACTCGGGTGACGCACAGACACCGCCCCGGACTTGCTGGGCCCGTCTCGGAAGCGCAGCGACTGCGCGCTGGGCGGGCAAACCGCCGGCCTGCGAGAACCAAACACCGACGTCCACCGGAGCGGGTCTGCTTTGGCGTTCGACCGACCTGATTGGGCGATCCTGCTGGGCGTCAGTCCAGAAGTCTTGTCGGCGTTGCCACAACTCGTAAGCTGTGGTCCAAATAACTGCCCGCAAGGCGCCAGATTCCCGCATGGCTCCTTCCTCGATTTAACGTCTCACCCCCATCCCCCCCACTCCCCCTCCCCCAAACAAAGTGACCGCCTCAACTCGTGGAAGCACTGAGCCGAGGTCTGAGACTTGAGTGTGAGCAGGGAAGCGGCGAGAGAGAGAGAGAGAGAGAGAGAGCTGGTGTGGCGGCTACACAAAGATTTCTGGTCTGCGAGTCTGAAGCGCCCCACCATTCAGATTTCTGTTGTGCGCAAGTGTGGGCGTTCTGAATCACCCCCCACTCTCCCCCCCTCCCCCTCATCAGAGTCATCAAATTTTCATTACATCTTAATATCTGAAAGAAAAAGATCCGATTTTAATGGATTCCAAAGCTTTTAATGTCTGCTCTTTATGTAGAGCAGTTATCCTGTCACATTGATGTACGGTTACAGCACTGAACAGTAATAATAATCATCCTTGCATCTGATGCAGCGCCTTATCACGACATCTCAAAGCACTTCACCGGAGCTTGGTTTCTTGTGACTAACGTCAGCAAAAGGATATTTGTGGAGTCCTGTAGCTCAGTGGTGGTTGGAGCACTCGCCTCGCAAGCGAGAGACCCGGGTTCGATTCCCGAGCAGGGGCCGAAACCTTGGGCAAGTTTCCTTACTCCGCACGCCTGATAATAGTCCCTCAAGACAAAAAAACAATAATAAAGTTGATCGCTTCAATCCACGACTGTTTATGGAACGCTGCTGTGCGCAATTGGCTGCCGCGTTTCGCCCACAAATATACAGGCAATTCACTGTACAGCGTATTCTGTGGAGCGCTTTGAGACGTCGAGAAGACGTAAAAAGCGCTATATCAAATGCAAGGATTATTATTATATTATTATTTACAAGGGCTCAGCGAGCACGGCACAGAGCCACGATTACCGTCTACAATAACTGCGACTGCAGAACAATGATCGCAGGTCCTCATTTGTTTCCATGCTTGAATTTGGGAGGTAAATGAGCAATTGTGAACCATGTACATTTATTAATATAACATAACGATTCTGGCATTTGATGTATCGCTTGATCATGTCAGTGTCTCAAAAGGGCTTCACAGTATAATAATAATTATGGCTGTGTATTTGTAACCAGCCAGTTTGCACCCAGCAGTGACCCCACAAACAGGCCAGAGGCGAATAATTTAACTTAGAGGATCGTTGGCCAGGATGGGATCTTTAATGTCCACGTTTGAACAGGCAGAAGTTGGGGGGAATTTGGTTTAAGGTAGTTTCTCTTGTTGTCCTGGCCAACAAACCCCCCCCCGGGTAAAATTGGTCGTTCAGTGTTTGTGGTACGTTTCTGTGTCCAAATTGGCTGCTGCATTGACTTACAAATATACAGTCACAACAATTTACCACACCTCCCTCGCCTGTGAAGTGCTTTGAGACGTCTCAACAACGTGATAAGGTGCCTTATAATAATATACAGAATAATAACAATAATAATCCCTGCATTTGATATAGCGCCTTATCAAGTCTTCGACTGCGCCTTTGGCCACCCTCCTACCACCCCCCACTGCCCTCCACCCTCCCTGATCCAACCCCCCCCCCACCCCGGGTCCAATTCCCTGACTGTCCAGCGCCTTGGGATGTCCTAATGACATGAAAGGCACTACACAAATGCAGTTTTGAATTGTATTTGTATTCCCTCATTTCTTCCCGGTGGTTTACGGAATCCAGTAGCGTATTGGTCAGAGCCCTCGCCTCGCAAGCAAGGGGACCTGGGTTCAATTTCCGGGCAGGGTGAGATGTTAGGCAAGTTTCCTTATTCTGTTTACCTCGCAGTAAGTAGGAACCCGCTTGTTAGTCGATAGGCAGATCGCTTTCTGCGGGTAATAATCCCTTTTTTTTAATATAAATGTAGTCACTCAATCCGCGACTGTTTGTGAGATACTGCTGTGCGCAATTGGCTGCCGAGTTTGAAGGTTTGGCTGTGTTGGAACAACAGACCTTTGAAGCTTAAAATACCGTTTGATTACATTTCTAATGAAAGTACAGCACGCTCTTTGCAGTGCTTGTGGTGTTGTTCGGGTAGTGGCTTATTCTTACAGTGTTAAGTTTCTTTCTTTTAAAACGTTATACCTAATTGAGATCCATATGATCCATACTGAAAGGACGTCTCTATATAAATCGTTGTGGATAAGATTTACCGTACAGTAAGATTTTTATTCCTGTCCACAATCACAGGTAGCTCACCTAGGGTTTTGGGAGACTGAGGTGATAAGCATTGTAGCTGTGCCCAGTGAGTTGCTTTGCATCACTTTCTTTTTTTTTCGGGGTGGGGGGGGGTGGGGGGTGGAAGGGGAATTAACCAACAAAAACAACAACAACAAAAACAACAGAAAATTGGAATTCTAACGACTTTTATTCATGTGTGATTGAATTCATTTTACTATTAAAAAAAAGAAAGTGGAAGAAATGGTATGCAACAGAACTTTATGTCTACTGCAGGAAGTGATGCAAAGGAACTTCCTAGGCACGGCTGTGAAGAAGAAAGGCAAAATGGCATCGCCCTTGTATCCAAACATCAGAGCGAATTGCGTGCCATTACTGACAGCAGCTTTGTTCAGCTCGACACAAAATCTAGCTATAATGGTAAGTAACCTTTCGGCTTGTCCACAATTACGAATTAGGATGAGTAGTCCTTTAGTATTGTAACAGTACTTGTGTAGATGTGATCTTCATTTACCTTTTTTTAAATAAAAAAAATTATTCGTTGTGGTCGCTATATTGTATATACTACATTGAATGACGTCATCTCCATCTTGATATTCGTCTCGTTGTTAGTTTCGGCATTAACATCCCGGGTTTCTGACCGCCATCCACCGCCCTCTTTCTCGCAAGAGTACAACTAACCCGTCTTCACGTGGCATGCTCTGATTGTGTGTATTGGTGTATGTGGATATAAGGTCACCCCCCCCCCCCCCCCCAGACAGCAATTTGTGCTCTTGCGAAAACGAGGACAATTATGGACGGACCAAAGGCAGTTGGATCAACAATTGTGGCCTCTTAGTGGATTGTTACAGAGCTTTTCCCGATGGCCCTCAATTCTAACTCTCTTCTAAGTCTCTTTTAAGACTGAAATGTGTTCAAAATTCTGAGGGATTTTTGATGGGGTGGGTAAGGAGAAACTGTTTCCTCTGGCAAATGGGTCGGTAATCACAGGATGCAGATTTAAGACAATTGTCAAAGGTGGGGAACAAGGAGAATATTTTTTTCTTTCCCCCCCAGAGAGTTGTTATGATCCCGATTGCGCTGCCTGAAAGGGTGGTGGAAGCGGACTCAATAGCCGCTCTCAAAAGAGAATTGGGTAGGCACTTGAAAAGAAAGAAATTGCAGAGCTGGCGGGGGGCTAAGAGCTGCAAAGGCAGAATGGGCCGAATGGCCTCCTTCTGCGCTGTAAGATCCTACGATCCCGTGCAATCTACAGTCTTGCGGAGACAAAACTGCAAACACTGTCAAACAGGAGCGCTGTGAAATTCCTGCAAGCAGTCACCACGGGTGACACCCGGAAAGCGATCTGTTGGGTTGATCTTGAATGCTGCACTTTGTGCACCGACTGCAATCCTTCCAGATCGAGTTCCTGCATTTCTTTCAAAAGTGAAGCGTTTGGGATTCTTGTCACAAGGGATTGGGATTGCAGTCTCTCCCATCTATCCCCCCGCCCCCCCGCTGCCGCCCCCCACACACTTTCTGCTCTTGCAGGACCCTCCCAGTTCATCTGTGAGGGTGGAGTGGATGGAGCTTCGGATTATGGAGGACGGTTGTCAGTGCCACATTGTAAAAACCGTAAGGAGATGCAATTTAAGATGGGTGGATCCGACTGTCTAATCTAGACAGGGGTGAAATCCACAGACGCGAGCGCAGAACAACAACAACAACGACTTGCGTTTACGTAGCACGCTCCACGTGGGGCAGCGTCTCGGAGCGCTAAACAGTGGCCGAGCCGGGGAGAGGAGGTAACCGTGAGCACGGCCGAAGAGGAGAGCCTTCAGTCGTGACCTAAGAGAGGGGAAGGAGAGGGCAGAGGGAGAGAGGGAGAGAGTTCCAAGGCTTCGTAGTGACTGAAAGCGCGGCTGCCGATGGTGGAAATGGAGGGGACAAGAGGAGTGAAGGTGAACAGGAGGTTCAGATTGAATCGCTTTACCTGGAGAGTTCAGTGGGTTACCCAGGCAGATTTGGTCAGCAAATTCATCAGAGAACAAATTGCTATTTGATGAAGGTATCAAAGATGGATTCGTTGTTGGACTGCAATGGTCTGCTCCGGTCCTCTGTGGTCCTATACAGTATCTAATTAATCGACCGAGAAGGGACAAAATGGGTCTGAAAATAGTACATTGTGCATTGTGGGGCAGCAGAGGATTTGATTTGTGGGTCTCTTGCCAAGGGTACAATAATAATAATAATAATAATAATAATAATAATCCCTGCATTTTAATCTAGCACCGTTCACGTCGGGAGGACATCGCATAGAGTTTCACAGGATTTTCGCTTTATACTGTATGAAAAAGTCTAGTGATTGTGTATTTTGTAGGCGAACGCAGCAGCCAATTTGCACACAGTAGTGTCCCAGAGACAGCCACGAGGTGAATGATTGATTTTATCTGAGATTTTGTTGGTCAGGACATTGATTGACGAGGATGGTCATGTGGTAAAATTCAAATACCTCTCTTTAATTTGTTTCTAAAAAAGGTAGATAAATATAGCTATGCTCACTTAATTCCAATCCAAGAAGCATTTCAAAAACAATTTTGCTGCTTAAATGATGTGTGTTGTAAATCGAAATGATTCGATTACATTTATTTTGCGGATTTTGCTGATTTTCAAACAAATCGCTGGTCATTCATTAGGAAAGCCATTTTCATATGGGGGACTCATATTTGGTAGAAAAATTCGTAACCCAGATCAATAGAGCTCAATATTCTGTTCCAGAATCCTTTGGAAAGCTCACCAGAATTTGCTCCCAACTCAGACCTCAATGATTCGGATTCCCTGGACCTTTGACAGTAGTCTGAAACGTGTGAACGCATTTATTTTTGTCACACCTGTAAATCAGACGTAATAATAATCCTTGTATAAAATATAGCGCCTTATCATGCTGTTGAAACGTCTCAAAGCCCCTCGCAGGATTTTACTGTAGAGTTTAGCATGGCATTGCACATTGGAGTCCTATGGTTATAGCGTTCGCCTCGCAAGCGAGAGACCTGGGTTCGATTCCCGGCAGGTCGAAACCACGGGCAAGTTTCCTTACTCCGTACGCCTGATAATAATCCCTCAAGAAAAAAAAACAATAAGAAAATTGGTCGCTTCGATCCACAACTGTTTGCGGGGCCGCTGCTGTGCGCAATTGGCTGCCACGTTTCGCCCACAAATATACAGTCAGTTCACTTTACAGTAGATTGTGTGAAGCGCTTTGAGACGTCTCGAAGACGTGAAAAGTGCTACATCAAATGCAAGGATTATTATATTTTATTATTATTATAGTGACTGTATTATTAGCTGAATGGGGTGGCAACGAATTTTATCTGGGGGATTGTTGGCCAGGACACCAGGAGGAACTCCCTTCCTTCTTTGACGAGAGCCACGGGATCTTTAAATGTTGCTCTCCAGTGAAACGTCAATACATAAAACTAGGAATATATATACATTTTTGTTTTGAACGTGAGGAATGCCAGGCGTTTCTCGTACTATTTTCTAGGAAAAAGAATACCGTGTGGGACAGTGAGTTGAGTAGTGTGGGACTACTGGGTTCTATTTTCCACGTTGGCGGGGTGTGGATTTCTCCTTACAATTCCCCACGATGCAAGTTCTTGACTTTATTCGAGCCAAAACGAGGAAATGTTCCGACGCTGTCAGTGTAAGGGATGGACAACTTGAAAAATAAGTGACCTAGCAATGTCTCTGCCGAAGAATAGGGACTTAAAATAGGGCGAGGAGAAGTGGATCCTTCATTTCAAAAAGCTTGTTCATCTACTTATTGCAACACTGTGCCACTTGTCTCCTCTTTCACTTGTGACTAGACACCGGAGGTTGCATTATAGACGCTTTCCCTCCCTGCAAGGTAAGTGCTGGTCCATGCCATCATCAGGCCTCAGCAACCTTTTCTAATTAAAATACCTCTAATGCCGACGTCGATTCTAATGTTTCTGACTGAACGCGACATTTCTTACTTATCTTGGCTCTTGCCAGCCTGCGCCTGATACTCTCTGGAATTAGGTAAGCAGGATGCATCCCTCCAGGGAGCGAGTGCTGTATCAGACCACCCCAGCTAACGGAAAAGAATATTTACGACTGCTTCCGTACGTTTCAACTATACATTGCTTATCGCCTGATTTGAAACCGGAGAGGTTTAGCTAACATCGTAACGCCAAATGATCTGGAAGTCTTATGCTCAGAAGGTCACGATGAGCAGCTCGGTTTTTGTGTGTCAATTTGCTTCCGGTCTATATAAAAAAAATTGCCGTTTCAATCGCATTGTGTTTGTGTAGTGCCTTTGCATGTCGAGAGGACATCTTTTAACAGCTGGTTTGGCACTCCAGCCGGAAAGGGGAGTGGGTTGGTGAACCCTAAAGCGGTGGGTCAATGAGCAAAAGCATGGTCAAAGAGGTAAGTCGTGAGGTGTGCTTTGAAAGCAACGAGGGAAGGTAGGAGTCAGAGAGACTTTGGGATGGAGTTCGAGAGGACAGGTGCAGACATGGCTGACAGCTTACCCGCCCGTACCCTGGGGCAGATAGTCTGCACGTAAAGGCAGATTGATGTTTCCTGATCGAATGGGTCGATAGGATTGCAGGAGGTCGCAAAGGTAGGATTGGAGGGGAGAGGCCATGAAGGGCTTCGAAAGCGAGGAGGAACTTTGAGTCTAAACGTTTAACAGAGAATTATACACCGAGTTGGTCGTCAACTCCAGGTAATGACAGATTATCTCTTTACATGCTCGTTCAGCTTGTACGTATCAGGCACACGGTTTCACTAGCAGGGTTCAGACAGGCAAAACCGCCTTGTAACTGGCGAGTCAGAGATGAGCGAAGATGATCATGTTCGACCCCATCCAGAGCCAGCGTCTCTCCCTACGCGCGAGTGCAGAGGAACCCCGTCAGAACTCGCTGTAAGGCTGCACGCATCGCGCCTCAGAATGAGCCATGACACTTCAGGGATCGTTACAATGCTCCCCTCGACGCCCTTCAGGAGGAGGACGCGGTTTCAACCGCAGCGCAGCTGTCTCGAGCGCGATGCGCGCCAGTGGATCAGGCTGCCCTCGTGCTATAAGGGCTCGTTGGGGTTAAGGCTCGGGATTTTATTCGCTCCCAACCACTGCAATGTAGTGAGGTTCGACTGTCAGAAAATCTCTCCCGAAGGCCAGATCGAGATCGAGATTCTTTTTTTTTCCCCGTTGGTAATCACAGGGAGCGAACCTGTCTGGCTGAGCTTCATATGTCACCCAGCCTCGTCCATTTTGCTTCTTAGCTAAAAGTGAGATCCGCGCTGGTGAAGAAATTCTAGAATAAAAATAAAAATAAGAAATTCAACGAGTAAAATCTGCATTAACCCGCTCGGAAGTTATTTTTTCCCCCACCACCACCTCTCTGGGAGTTCTC